TACAGTACTAGTTTACACATACTGCTACAGTACTAGTTTACACATACTGCTACAGTACTAGTTTACACATACTGCTACAGTACTAGTACATGAAATGCTTTATTACAACATATATTAAGATTTATCTAAGTCTATCTGTCTGAAAACTGGTGTAAATAGCTAATTGTATGAATTTTAACAGCTGTATAATATATATATATATAATTCAAAATTTCAAAAAATATAAAGTGAAAAAATAGCGTTCTCTAGTGTAAAGGTAAATAACTCTTTCATGACTAACTCGTGATAATTTTGTGTTAAGACAAGTGGTCCACACTAAATATCCTTTCACTGCTATGATCATCAACAAATTATTAAAATATCTTTTAATCAGACTCGGAGTACAATCTCTCAAATTTCAAAGATTTTTTTTTTCATTCATGACCAGAAAAAAGGTATGAAAAATATTAACATATAGGTACATAAAATGCTTGCATTGGAAGTTCTGATAGAAAGGGGAATAACATAGGAGTCTTAACCCTTTCACCCCTATGTAACTTAAATAAACTGTACAATGCATCGATTTGGGTAAGTCCATTATGGGCCAAAGTGGTGAAAGGGTTAAATATTATGATATTGCATGAAATTCAAATCCTGTGAATTTGTCCCTGAAGAACAAGTAAACCATGAAAATCTGAACAAAAAAATATTGTAATTCAATCTTTGAGGTCTTCATTTTAATTGTCATTACTTTTTACCTTGCAGATAAAAAATGGCAAAACGTTACCAGCCAGATATTGTTGGGGACGATGAATTAGCCTATGATAACGAGCTCCAGCCTCATCTGGGTCGATTGCAGTTTGATAACGAAGGATTCACCCCATTTGATTTCAACGACCCAGAATCTACTGATAATATTCCACAGTCTGTCAAGGAAAATGTAGGGTCAGAGGTCAAAATAGATCAAGATCAAGGTCAGACAGTCACACCTACCACTCAACAAAATGGTGGCACTATCAATGAACCATCAGTGACAATTTTGACACCTAATCAAAACGGGAATGCTCAATCTGAAAATACTCCAGTCCACTTTAACAGGTCTTCAGAATCAACTATAAAATCAAAATCAAGTGAACCTAGAGTAAATGGAGGACATGGTAAAGACCACCGTGTGATCCAAACAGCCAGTCTCCAGGAAGCACAGAGGTGGAGGGATTTGGAGCGCCAGCGTCCCCTGCGACAGCGCCACATCTTGTTGTTAAAAGTCTTCGGAATTATTGCTTGCGTTTTCTTCTTTCCAACGGGTATACCTGCTGTGTACTATGCTTTTAAAACTGAAAAAGAATTTGATGAGGGGATTATGCGAGGAAACATAGACGAAGCACAGAGATGTGCAAGAAAGTCAGAAAGATTCATAATATTTTCTGGGCTTCTGGCCATTCTGACAGCTGTGATAGTTTTTGCTGTGGTAGAACGATCGTTGATGGACGAACAGGCTTACTGGGACAGTCACAGTTCCAGTCGTGTGCTACCTCCATAGAATACTGGAGACAATCACCTGATGATAAAATAGGGTATACCTACATGTGTTTTTAAAAAGTTATGCTTCAGGTTCTTTAAAAACTTTCACATAGGATAAGAATTTGCTGAAGTAAGAAAAAAATTGCTTAAATTATGGAATCTTTGAGACACTGGCTAATTCACCCAAGAGAAACTTGTCAAAATGGTAATTTTTCTTCATAACTTAGTAATATATTTCAGAAACTAGAAAAAAAGTAATGAGCATGCCATTCTCTTTAAACTTTAGCTCACAAGGTATGAGGTTAACTTTTGAAGCTATTAGCATAATTTATTTGTGTGACCTTAAAAGTTGTTGTTATTTTAGGTCACAGATGTTAAGTGTACTCGGAACTTCTTTTTAACCACTTTAATGCCTGGATTTAATGGTATTTGGCATGTTAATGATCTTTCGTTGTTTTAACCATGTGGGTAAAATGCTACAAGAGTCCTAAGAGCTTGTATTGAAGACTATTTTAGTGGTGTTGGAAAACTCTGTTTAATGCTGAAATGATACTTATTGATTGTCAGGGGTATATTTTGTACAATATGCATATGTATTCAATCGGACATTTACAAACGAGAAGAGCAATGCAGGCCCAATGGGCCTTTTATAAAGTTTTTATATTGTAAAATTGAATTTTGATTTATTAATGCAAAATTTGAATTATTCATGTTCAACAGTTGATATAAAACTCTCTAAATATTATTTTTGTACAAGAGTCTAAAAGACTAGAAAAACCTATGATTTAATATTTTTTTTAATAAATTTCCATCGTAATTATTAACTGACTGCCGTCCAACCTGTTAATATTTGATCTAATTTAAGCTTGTGGATTTGGAGAGGAGTAGGTATTCTCAAAAACTCTTAAAATCTCATTAATATTTTTTTTTAATTTGCTGTGTTTTTGGCTTAAATGTTATCAAAATATATTTCTTTTAATGATAGAGGGTATTTAATTGAGGAATAGCATACACTAAAAATAAATGAAAATGGTTAAGGAATATGTATATTTGGAATTTTTGTCAGAGTAGCCTTAGGATAATTTGATTTCGGAAACACCACAGACATATTTTGGTCAATGAATTAAATGTTGTTTCAAAGCTTATAACTTATTTCTTGACCCACTTTCTTTTTTATTACATTTTTTTAACAAAATATAAGCAATAAATTTTCTTGCTTTGTAGTTGTATACTCTTTGTGGATACTGGTGTTGGTTTAAGCATAAATTAGTGAATTTTGTTTTGCTCTGCAGTTTTTGAAATTATATATATATTTCTGTTTTATTTAAAACGTTTTTGGTTGCTCCTCATTCTCTGGTTTTGCTGGCAAAGCAATGCTTTCAAATTTAATATGCATCATATATAGTTTCCTGGTTTTATATGTGTATATTCCATGGTGTTTTAAACATCAAGAGATTATTGATTACTTCTTTTGAAGTACGTATACAAGGGAGATAATCCTGATATTTCATCATGTATTATTAATTACTCAAAGAAGATTTGTTGCAAAACAAAATGGAGATAGTTTCATAACCAGATAACATATTAACTTTAGCAAACATAAGTCTATACAGAATAGCATTGTGACTGATGAACTTTAAAGTAAATATCAATATAATTAGAAATGTTTAATTGTCATTTGCACTGATTCTTCTACTTCAATTGTCATCAGTTAACTGTTGGGATTAGGCCAATAAATTACATGTGTGTATTTCAGGTTTATCCTGATGAACTACCTAAGATTTTTCTGCTAGTGCTAGAAATTTCATCACCTACATGTACTTGTATCCAAGATTAATTTATTAGCCAGACAAAGCTCACAGCCACTCATTAAAATGTACTTTCTTCATGTTCTGGGAGTCTGAACCTGTTCTTTACAAATTAGTAGCTATTGTGATGTGTGTGGAAATCCATTGTAAAATTTGATAAAAAGCATAATATTGATCCATGGATATCAAAAATGGAAATGAAAGAAAACTTACTGATTACGATGAAGATCTTTAAATTTATCATTTTGGAAATTAAAGAATCTTAACTATTGAGTCATTCATCACTGAAGACACATTTGAACTCTTCAAATTCAAATGTTGGAATAGTTCATTATGAAATTTCATGGGTGAATGAGTTAATAATTTTCATTTCGTTGCAAGAAAATGAAAGAAAAAGTGTTGATACATAGTTTGAACCCACATCTTTGTATGATGATTTTCACAAAGAAAAAATATTCAGATTTTATTTTTTTATTTAAAATTATGTGCTTTTCAAAATAGAAAAGTATTTTAAGCATGTATATAGTGTGTATTCAGGGTTTACATGTCTGCATATATATAAATAAATATACACTTGATGTTTACAAATATTGTATGGGAAGGAAAAAAGTGCTGAGTGTTTCACTGAATTCATTTTGATTTAAATCTAGTTCAGTTTTGTTTAAATCTGGTTAAGTTTTGTTTAAATCTAGTTCAGTTTTATTTAAATCTTGGTCAGTTTTGTTTAAATCTAGTTCAGTTTTGTTTCTATCATCAGGGCTTTCAGTTGCGTTTTGACATGATCTAGAAACGTCAAATGTCAAATATTTTTTCCCTGAAATTTCAAGGGTCAAAATCATCAAATTGACATGTTGTTTAAACCCAATTATCTCATTTTGGGGAGTCAAGAAATATACTCTCAATAGTCTACTGAAACCCCTGTATCGCTTTTTCGTTAGTTTTTATATAAAATCATACTGTATTATCACTTTAGATTTCCTATAATATATAAAGAATATTCTGTTATATTGATTGTTTGAATCTCTTTGGAATATGTGTTTTTATTTAGATTTTTATCATTGTGTTATAGAGATATTTTCAATTAATGTACATTTCATACAAGTCTTTCAAATTCAAATTTTTGTAGACTTGCATTTAATTATGTTGAACATCAATATATGCAAGTAGGAGTGTTAGATGTGGAGGTTTAGCAATGATTTAAGAGGCCTTTGTTCACATAACAATCAGGACTTGTGGAACTTTCTAACACAATTTGTATGACCCTGCTGACTTTATCAATAATTTTTTCAATAATTTGTTTGTGATAAAACTTGCTGCTGATCAATTGATACACAATTATTTTTACAGTTCTACATTCCTATGTCATTATATACATGTTTTGATACTCATTGCTGTCGTTTCTCAACAATTCTGAATGTTTAGGTATTCACTATTGTTTGAACTACATCTTGGAGGAATATATTGCTAATGGAGGGCCACAAAGTCAAATGGTGCCAATCTTTGAATTGCAATTTTCCATCATTTAGTATTTTAATGGAAGTGACTATAAAGATCCTAAGAGCGCAAGCTACTAAATAGAGAGAGGTGGGGTTGAAATGAATTTATTACTTTTCTACAAATGAAACTGAAGCGAGAGAAAGGAGAGCTTCTGTTTGCATCCATTTTCACCATTCTGTCCATAGCATGTCTATAATTGTTTATTTTAACTCATTCACCCTGCAATTTCACAATAAACTATTCCAACCAATGAATTGGAAGAGTTCAAATGTGTCATCAGGGGGAAATGAATTAACAGCTGTATGATGCAGTATAACTCATTTTTGGCAAACTGTACCTATTACATAAGTACCAAAACTAAAGGTGTAGTAATCACCTGTCTGTGTGTCATCTTTGAAGAAATTTCATATATAACCATGAGACGGTACATGTATAGCACACCTCCTGTTCAGGTCAAGTTAACATTAACGGCTGCAATATAGTTGAAAGACTTTTTTATCATCAATTGATTTGTGTTCAGACCGAACCATCGGTCAGACTGGCTGCTGATATTTTTTTTCATGAAACAATGGTGACGGTCACACTCATATATACATGTAACCACTAGATTGTGTATCTTGTCCCTTTTTGAGGTACACCAAAATGTATGTCAAAGGCCAAGGTCACGGGGAAAGTTTAAAGGTCAAATAATGAAATGCTTGTATGAACAATAATCTTAAGTGTCTGAGCATTTAAAGAAAAGAAAAAGATGAAACAGCAGCTGTTTCACTCCTTCTCCGTGTGTGACAGGTCAAGGTCATTGAAATAAAAGGGTTAAATACGTTTTGAGCAATAATGTTTTTGTTGTTGTTATTTTTTATATTGAAACTTTATTCTTAGTGAATTGATGCATCATGACTAAAAACGTTTATTGTGTGCCTCTCAGGACATTATCTTTAAGGTGAAGGTCACAGAAAAGGGTAAAAGGTCACAAACTGATAATGATGGTTTGTCTACAAAATCATAAGACTTAAAAAGTCATAATATTTGTATTCTTATTTGCTGTGATATAAACTATCTAAGGTCTGGGGTCATTTCTTTCAAAATGATGAGATATATACAGTGATGTTTGTAAAGTTTGTTCAATAAAATTACCTTGAAATTATTTCAAGGTCATGAAGTCAAATGCTATAATAACCTCTCACACCTTCAAATAACGTCGACCCACATTCAAGGTCAAAGGGAGTGGTCAAAATGTGTTGCAAATTTTCTGTATATCTTTAAAAAAATCTGCTGCAGAACTAGGCTGCCTAAAAGCCTAAAACACTGTCCTGTGGCTTATACTTGGGTCAACAACTATCAAATACGTTTTCAATTAGAGGACCTTTACCACTTTCAAGGTCAAAGGTTAAATACAACAAAAACAGATAAAGCTTCCTATTTAATGTAATGATAATTGATAGATTCATGGAACAGATCTGGACAATGTGTCATGGTAGAGCCAACGAATGTTTGATAAACTTTATTTCATGTTTCCCTGACGACATGTCATCTGGACTGGATCTCGGTGTATACGTAGTCCTTCTGAGACAATAATTCAGATCTGTAGGAAAAGTACCTTTTGTATTGCATAATCGAATTCCCTATCAATCAAACTCGCCGGCAAAGTTTTGTATGTAAATAATTTGATAAATTAAAAAATGAATTTTTGATATTTGTTTATGATCTACTCATGAAAATCATGCTTGCAATTTGAATTTATTTTCTGTATTACTCTTTCATTGATGTGTCTTGGTTTTTAAAAACGATTTTACCAAGAATATGAACTCCCTTCGAGAGTGATGTGCTTTATAAAAGAATGGGTGAAATGTTAAACCAAAGGATGAGAGCTGATAAGACAGAGTCAGGAATCTGTTCAAAAACGAAAACTTTTTGAAAAATCCATAGAACGGCTTCGGAATTCATTTGTGATGCATAATATCTATCAAAATAAATGCTGAAACAGCACAACAGAATAATAATTAATACAAGAGTTATTCCCCTTGGTCTGTGCAAACTGGAGGTTATACCACAGGAGCCTGAAATTCTGTCAAAAAATTATTACAACAGTAATAATTAAAAAATACCAATAAAATGCTTATGATAAGCATATTATAGGTATTTGTTTATTACTGTTATTATTAATTTTTGACAGAATTTTAGGCTCCTGTGCCTGTACCTACAAGTAGGGCACTGGTGTTACTTTGGTCCCCAAGAGCCAAGTGAGCTATTGGTATCTGTTGCTGTCCTTTGTCTGTTTGTATACTTTTCTTTGAACTTCGTCTCAAAAACCACAAGAAAAATTACAACAAAATTAGAAGTATCCCTAGGAGAAGATGATTCAGATTTGCACAGGAGAATCTGCTAGCCTCTTCTGGGGGTTAATAAGAGACAAAAGAAGGGTAATATTTAAGGCATATATATATAAAAAAAATATACAAATATTGTGAATGATCCTGGCCTATATTCGTGGCCAGAGGAGAAAAATGTATTAAAAATCAAAACACTCCCAGAAAACCAACAGTATTGATATATGGCTAGTACATTGCTGGCATGAGATTTCGAAAAATGAATTTCCTTGACCCACAATTATGGTCACAGGGGTCAAATATGTAAATAAACCTCAGAGTTTCTGATACATCAAGAGGCGTGGTGGCAGGGTATATGGTCAGTAGCTTGCTTGATTGGAATACGACAAAAGTGGATACAAATTAACCTTGACATCTCCTCATTGGCATAGGGCTCAAATACGATCAAACACTTAAACGGCTAGTTCTTGAAGAAACAAAACCCAAAGTTATGTATGATCAATATCATGCCTGCATAGAGTTCTAAAATGTTTTTCGAAAGATCAAATCTGCCAAAACACTCAAATGAATTCTTCTAAGAAACATGGAAGCCTAGAGCCAGGATACATAGCATCTAGTGTGTAGTACTACCAAGTTGGAAAGGGAAGTTACCGGTTTCAAATAAGTAAGGCATTCAGCTCTTTGTGAAGATGGGACAAGTCAGGAGTCATAATAAGTGGCTAATTATTTTATTGCTTCAAAGCAGGAATGAATCACCTTGACCTTTGGACAAGGTCACATGGGTCAAATTTGTTTAAACACTCAAACACATTCTTTTGAAAATGAATGAAAAGGCCTAAAGTCATGATATTGGGCTATAGCTTGCTGGCATGGCGTGAGACATTCCAGTTACTTGTGTTACTCATACAGTTGTCGGTGTTTTGGCGGCCTTGAGATACGAAGTCTGATATTGTTGCGATAATGTCGGTATCAAAAGACCAGTGGGCTGCGACACCAGTAGTTGGGGTTCTCCAGGCTGCTATCATAACGTTGTCTACTACCACATGACCAGCATGTCGTCTTTCCAGGGCCCGCAAGCATGGATTTTGTGCTCAAGCCTAATGTCTTGTTCCAGCTATGAATTAATAAAAAATTGAAAGAGACTTAAAACCGGATACTGTTTCAAGGTTTACATTTGACCTTTTGATCGGTTGACATGATTTAAGCGAGTAACAAGTAAGTTGGTCTGAGCACAAAATCCATGAGCAGGAGAACGGTTTCATGAATATGGGCCCTGCTTTGTAATCTCCCGTCTCCGTCTCTGGTTATATTTTGGCCGAACATTTTATTTCACAACGCTTTTCTTTTGTATACGTCAATAAAAGTTACTTTCCTGTTAAAATGTTTTCCTCTATACTCACATAATGACAATTATTGATTGCGGGCCTTTTTATGGAGTTAAAACTTTGTCAACTTTCCGATTTTGAATTTTCCGTTTCTTGACAATACAATCCTAGCTTCCCCTACTTGTTCGGTACCAAGAGCCTGCTACGCATATCATGACTTCGTGATATATGCCGGATGCTGACGGACAAAGACAGGGCTTCCACTTTGTTATCACTTCCCGAGTTCTCGAAGTGAAGACGTGACATTACTGATGTCGTCGTTGAAGCAGAACCTTCCGGAACACCTGGTCTTATTCACTTTGTATTTTTTTCAAGAGTATCCATGAACATTTTTCATTTGTTCATATTTTGCCAAAGTTTTATTGATTTTGAGGTCGACTTACGGTTTTGCTAACAATTCAGTTCTCTCGATTTTGTTTCGTTTTTGTTTTAAATATAGGTGTCCCTAGAAACGAATCGTTGTTTTGTTTTTGATTTAAATATAGGTGTCCCTAGAAACGAATCGTTGTTTTGTTTTTGATTTAAATATAGGTGTCCCTAGAAACGAATCGTTGAGGCGGTACATAGCCTTATTTTGTATATAACTTTTTGCGGTAGGATAATACCAGAGATAGAACACAGCATTAACGTTGGCCTGTATATGTATAATGCCCGGGATTGTATGTGTCGTTGGCATGTTGACAGAATACTCGGCTCACAACAGCAGACAGTAATTGTGGTCAGCGTCGCTGTTGTTTTGGTCTGGCCATGATTAATTATCTGGCACGGCTTTGTTTCTTTAGATAATTGTATATTCTGTCGTTAATGCTGACCACTGTGATGAGAAATTGCCTTCTGTAGCAGTTGTTACTGGTCACTCTCAATGGACAGACTGTTTCTGTTTGGATTCTTCAAAAACGGACCCAAAACTCGTAGTGTTATTACCAACTCATATCAGTTATAACTGAGTGATCACAGAAAATGCATCGGAGACCGACAGTGGATAACATTCATTAAGCACTGATCTGCTTTTAGTTTGCATTCATAAGCAATATGAATGCGAACTGGACAAAGACAAATTCAAGAAACGTGCTTGCTCTTCATGTTGAATTTATTTTTCCAACTGACATTAATGCATATGAAATTGCTTATGAATGCCAACTGATAGCATTTCAATATTTGTATTTACCATTTTCGAAATCTGTTTAATCTCATAGAAAATTCCATTTCACGTATTATTGTTCAGCATTAAGATCAAATAATGTATTTATGGTATGCCTTTTTTAATGAATAGAATAGCCATCTCTCCAAGAAGAGTCAGCGGTGCTCATGGCATTCATAGCATACATAAATGCCATAAGAATGTACGTATCTGAAATGTATACGTTGTATATATGAATGGCATGAAAAGTTACATTATACAAACACAAAAAATCAGTCAGGATAGTGTAAATATATTTAGAATTATAAAGGTATGATGCCTCCTTAAGTTGTTGTTCCCCCAATGTTTTTCTTTATTAGATCGACCAGATCATAACAGCTTCCATTTGTACCTTGAAGCCAAGTTGTTTTGATTTTTATGAAGAGGTAGATGAAACTAACTTACGGAATTCCTGACGATACAAAGGCTCCCGGACAGAAGGCATCCATAGTGTTATTATTGTCCACAGTACCTCCCACATAATTTCCAGCTTTTTGTTTTCATTATGCATGCTGTGTTTACATCATTGATCATAATAGATCGGAAAGTCTGGTATGAACTTGCTCAGATCCGCGGAATGCTGATCCAATACTCTACAGTGACCTGATCCTATACTCTACAGTGACCTGATCCTATACTCTACAGTGACTTGATCCTACACTCTACAGTGGTTTGATCCTATACTCTTTGTTTGTTGATGGTCACCGGGGCTTAATATCCGAGGTTCTGATTTTTGGGTTTAATATTTTCAGTTCGATATGATTGTATGGGCTATCTTTATTCTCCTGTTGTACAGTTAAATAATAAATGTAAACTTCATCTGATTTACAACAACTGTGGAACATTTTTTTTATCTTAAACATCATGGTTGGCCTAGATGGGAAAAAGCAGATGGGAGGAAACCAGAGGACCCGGAGATAAACCCACGTAGTCGGGCAGGTGACCAAATATCTTGTCACGTCCAATTGGAGAATCGAAACCTGGCCGTCTTAAAGGCGAGTGCGCTATCTACTGGAGCACCCGATATAGTATTGGTTAAACATCACTCAACACCAATCGGGAACCGTCGGCACTTTCCGTAAACGAGAAAATAGTATTTTCTCGTTTACGGAAAGTACCGACGGTTCCTGATTGCATCAGGATAGGCCTATCTCACGTGATAATTCCTAAAGCCTGATTTATCTTACAATAACCCTATTTAACAGACACGATCTGATTCGACCAAATGACTTCAGTCCTCATTTAGGTCAATAGCGACAGGTTTCACTATAAAATCACATGTCTGTTGTCTTTCTGCTATTTTATCAAACATCCGGGAAGATGTCAATTTGTGTGTCACGGGGCACTGTTTCAATCCGATCTAAGGTTACAATTTGTCTTAGCGAGAATTGATCAACACATGACGATCTTTGTTTCAAATAAACAAGACACTTGCACGTTAAAGAGGCTTAACGATTTATTTTCAAAATTGATTTCAGTGAAAAGCAACAGTTTGGCAATGATATGGAATACACGCTTTATACTATCGTGCTGATTTTTCTCATGAGAACAAAGGGTAAATGTGAATGGTTATAAGTTTGTAAAGGAATGGTCGAACCTGCAAAGCCGGTCGTTTTAACAGTTTATGTACAGGTCTTCGCTAGAGCAAGTTCGACCATCTATGAAAAAAATATGCAAATGTGCCTTTTTCTGTCATATGTTTCTTAAATTTCGGGGAAGAGTCATGGGTCTTCCCGCCAAATACCAAATCAATGTGAAGTTATATTCATCTGTGTTCATTGCGAATTCAATGGATACAGCATAACGAGACAAATTCGACATACATGTATTGTTTGTCTATGATATTCCACAAAATATTTAATTGGTTTGTTATTGTCTTGACAGTATTCAAACCATACCAATAAAATTTTAGTCTTAAACCTGTTCTACATATTCATTCTATAGCATCTGGCTTATGATGATCACAGGGACCAGATTCATTGATCTGTAATCTCTTGGTAAATATTATTTAAGATATTATAATAAACAAATCTTACGACGTATTATATTTGTGCCTGGTCCCTGCGATAATGAAGCCCAATACATTAAGTGAAACATATATACACATGTGAAATTTCACGAGAGCACATGTACAACACTCTCCCTCCAACACATGGATTCACATACTGTACACATATTCATTTCCGCGGTGGTGTTTATTTTCGCGATGATAAAACTTCTTAGAAGTAACACAACTGTGAACATACATAATACATGTACTTCACTATCTCAAAATCACTTCTTAACAAGTAAAATGACACAAGAACGCCAAAATGATGCTTCGCGTAAAAAGATGTATAATACAGTATATGTGATACAAAGATATCCCACTGATCCGTATTTGGTTGTGCGTATATCTATCAATCATGGACTTTTGTCGAGGTGAACAGGTGGCTTTATGAACATGAGAAAGTGATACTAACCGACTGAATATAAACCTGCTGTATCTAAAAATAGTAACACCGAGTTAATGTCAAGTCCAACCGACCCCCACGTGATTAGATCCAACCAATGAGGATGTAGGGCAAAGTGCGTCATCCAACAAAATACTTGGAAATAAAGATATCATTCAATAACACCATATCCCGTTCCTATTTTATCTGCCATTATTGGTAAACCACGGCATTACAAGTCTTACATCGACATATCCCTACCTCGTATATCAAAGATGTCCTTTACAGATTCTCGGGGTCAAAAATTCACAATTTATCTTATTTGTTAATTCTGAAAGTTCTCGCGGCATTTAGTCAATAGTATACAGTGCAAATTACTTAATTTTCGCGAGAAAGCATATTTTGGCGATTTCCCCCCAACAACATTTTCACGAAGACATGAAAGCACCGTGCAATGGTATACACAGCTGTCATGTTTTTATTATTAAAACAAAATCGCTAAAATCCTCTTTCCTCACATATAAAAACCGTTGAAAATATATGTCTCGTGAATTTTAAGTGAATTGACAGTAACTTAATATCATGCACGACATTAAGGCAATGCTATATTATACATGATGACACATGACATAGAACTGGAATGATAACAACTCAAGACACTCGGAATTTAGGGTTTATCAATTTCACGCTGATGATACAAAAAAATCAGGGCCCTGTATTCATAAAATCATTTTCAAGGTCAGACATGAAATGTTTGCACAAAAACTATGTTCTTGCTAAAATCAAGCGGCTTACTTGAAAAACAAAGTCTAGACATTGTAAACAATGTTCTGCTTCAAGCCCCTTCAAATCAGTTCCTTCAAATAGTTGAAAACAGGAATTGAGCTGCAGTACCACATCCGAGTTTGTGCATGAGAACAGTTTCATGAATACGGGTTTATGTTACCATGGCAATATAGGGTCTGTGTCCATAGACGGTAACTAACATGGTTACCGAGTCATCCTGCGCATGGAAACTCATCATCTACCGAACCTTTTGTGAACCGCTGCACAAAAGGTACCCGGGAACAGTTATCCCATCAAATATTTACCACGAATATGACACAATTGTAATTAAAATGCAAATCCGTCGTAAATTAATATTTCCGTATCGAGGCTTAAATCCTCAAAGTATGGCATTGGGGTCCCAATTAAAAAGACCATACTTCCATATCGCAGTTCTCTGGTATTAGGACACTGTTCAAGTCTTCGGAGCAACGGACGCTTTGATCCCCAGCTCCCGGGCGAACTGCTGCGATCCGCCGACACACGACAGGGAGGTTCCTATGGCCTGGTTGATAGAAAAAGCTCCATGTTTCTTAGAGCTGCTTTCCTTGTTCTTGTGATGGCCAGATTTTTCCTGTGGTGTGAAAAAACTATGGTCAGAATGAATACATCTTGGCGAATGTTTGTGGCGGTTGTTGATCAGTTCAGCGTTTCGTTTGTTGGCTATTATTTGGAAAAGTTCCTCCGGGGTTATAAATGTGTCTCGGTCCTGTACACAAATATAAGGAAAGGACAAAGTCAGGCATGTTTAAGGATAGGGTTTGTTAGAAAATTAGTAATCAATTCAATTGACACAATGAGCATGCGCACTTAGAAATGTCTATGGTTATTATCAATTGGAAACCGTCGGCATTTTCCTTAAACGAACAAATATCAATCGGCTACCCTCGGCTGATTTCTTCATCAATAATGTCACTCGTTACAATTCGGTAGATTCCAGATGAAGGCCATCAGGAACCGTCGGCACTTTCCGTAAACGAGAAAGGTTCCCGATAGTGATGTAGGGTATCGGAATCAGCCGAAGTTAACCGAATGCATGTAAGGAAGATACCGAGCTGTGACGAGTGGAGAAAATGTTTTCTTCGGAAAATGCCGATAGTTCTATATTGTGATTATTTTCAACGGTCAAAATTCAGGTGACCATGCAGGAATATAAAATGTTAACTTAAAAACTGTTGCACATGTAAAGGCTGTTTCCATATTTTGGCGCTTTCAAATACGAAAATAAAGTGCTAAATAACGTGCTCAAAGAAATGAAAGTGAATGCGTTACTGAAGTGGCTAATTTTGAAAGGGCTTTTGAACTTTCTTGTAAAAAAACACAGGAACACTACGAGCAGATCACTTTTATCTTATATCTGTGATAAAGCGATAGCAAGAGATAAGCATTGCATTTCCTGTGTGACGCAGAGCACCTGTAGGAGAATTACATTTCCTGTGTGACGCAGAGCACCTGTAGGAGAATTACAATTATTGTGTGACGCAGAGCACCTGTAGGAGAATTACAATTCCTGTGTGACGCAAAGCACATGTAGGAGAATTACATTTCCTGTGAGACGCAGAGCACCTGTAGGAGAATTACATTTCCTGTGTGACGCAGAGCACCTGTAGGAGAATTACAATTCCAGCAGATAAAAAAACTCAGATAATCATAGCACTGCGTAACACCATATCTAAATACCTCTCCATGTATACCTGTTCTAAACATCTAAATACCTCTCCATGCATACCTGTTCTAAACATCTAAATACCTCTCCATGTATACCTGTTCTAAACATCTAAATACCTCACCATNGTATACCTGTTCTAAACATCTAAATACCTCTCCATGTATACCTGTTCTAATCATCTAAATACCTCACTATTGTATACCTGTTGTACACATCTAAATACCTCTCCATGTATACCTGTTGTACACTTCTAAATATCTCTCCATGTATACCTGTTCTAAACATCTAAATACTTCTCCATGTATACCTGTTGTACACATCTAAATACCTCACTATTGTATACCTGTTGTACACATCTAAATACCTCTCCATGTATACCTGTTGTACACATCTAAATACCTCTCTATTGTATATCTGTTGTACACATCTAAATACCTCTCCATGTATACCTGTTGTACACTTCTAAATATCTCTCCATGTATACCTGTTCTAAACATCTAAATACTTCTCCATGTATACCTGTTCTAAACATCTAAATACCTCACTATTGTATACCTGTTGTACACATCTAAATTCCTCTCCGTATATACCTGTTCTAATCATCTAAATTCCTCACTATTGTATACCTGTTGTACACATCTAAATACCTCACTATTGTATACCTGTTGTACACATCTAAATTCCTCTCCATGTATACCTGTTCTAAACATCTAAATACCTCTCCATGTATACCTGTTGTACACATCTAAATACCTCTCCGTATATACCTGTTCTAATCATCTAAATACCTCACTATTGTATACCTGTTGTACACATCTAAATACCTCTCCATGTATATATCACAACGAAAATTTCTGTTCGTTGTAATGTGTAGTTCGAAAGTAGAACTCCAAGATGTTGAATTGTGGTCCAAATATAAATTTATTAGAATAACATTCTCTAGGTTTGTG